GTTCTGAGTAAAGCTGCCTTCTGCAATCGATTGATGGTGAATTTGTCAATGCCAATGGTGTTCAAGTGGTGCTCCAGCTGTAGTGGGATTGCACCTAAGGCACCTATTACTACTAGTACTACCTTTGCTTTTTTTTTTTTAACCACAATTATTCTATTTCCAAGGATCTGGTGTAGGCAGATATTGTTGTTTGATGGTGTTAAAGGTATAGCAGAATGTAAGCTGCTCTAAGGGACCAGGGGAGACATGATAGCAGTGTTCCAATATTTGAGAAGCTGCCACAGAGAGGAAAGTGTCAAGCTATTTTCCAAGGCACCTGAAGGCCAGACAAGGAATAATGGATGGAAGCTGATCAAGGAGACATTCAACCTAGAAATAAAGTTAAATTTTCTGACAGCGAGAACAATCAACCAATGGAACAGCTTGCCTTTGGAAGTTGTGGAAGCTACATCACTGGAGACTTTCAAGAAGAGATTGGACTGCCATTTGTCAGAAATGGTGTAGGGTCTCCTGCTTGAGCAGGGCGTTGGACTAGATGACCTACAAGGTCCCTTCCAACTTTGTTAATCTACTCTAAGCAATTTTGTAATTGACTGGTGGAGATTTTGTCAATGCCGATGATATTCAAATGGTGCTCCAGATGTTTTGGGAATACTACTAATGCTATTTTTGTTTAATTTTGCCATGTCATTCTACTTTTTGCAGATCTTTGTATTTGGTGATTTTTCTCCAGTTCTTTTTCTTTTGTTCTGCTGTCTTCAGGTGCTGCAACATTCACTATCCACACCTTTTTGTCTTTCTTATCAACAAATATTATTATATACACAAAAATGTGAAATCACAGCTGCCAGTTCTTTAGCTGATGTTGACCTTCATATTCCTCAAGTTCTTTCCTAGATTGTCATAATATATTGATGTAGTATATTTGTAGGGATGTGGTGGCTCAGTAGCTAAAATGCTGAGCTTGTCGATCGAAAGGTCGGCAGTTCAGTGGTTCAAATCCCTAGTGCTGCATAATGGGGTGAGCTCCCGTTACTTGTCCCAGCTTCTGCCAACCTAGCAGTTCGAAAGCACATTAAAAATGCAAGTAGAAAAATAGGGACCACCTTTGGTGGGAAGGTAACAGTGCTCCATGCGCCTTTGGTGTTGAGTCATGCCGGCCACATGACCACGGAGAAATCTTTGGACAGCGCTGGCTCTTCAGCTTTGAAACGGAGATTCAAAGCCCCCTAGAGTCGGGAATGACTAGCACATACGTGCGAGGGGAACCTTTACCTTTTTTAGTATATTTGTGCAACCTTTAATAATTGACTGATGGAAATTCTATGAATGCACAGATTTTCTAAGTGCCATTCAAGATCTTCTCCAATTCTTTGTCTTCCATTCTACTATTTCCTGGTATTAATATTATTTTATTCTACACATACATACATACATACATACATACATACATACATACATAGTTTCTCTGTCCAATTGTATTCAACTCTAGGGTCACCACCTTAACCATTACATGAAATTGGCTCATGCTATTATATAATTTCAAAAATCTGTGGTCACATGGGAGAAGACCATACAGATTAGGACAATATTACTGTAGCTTTATGGTAGAGTTTTTATATGGGATACAATAACTGGCAGGTATTAGCTTAGTGTTACAGGAGAAAACTATATTGCAAGAACTCCCATACTTTTAAGAGAAGGTCAGGAAAAGCCTTTATGTGCTTTAAGACAATTTATGAAATGTATACTTCTGACATAAATGAAAAAAATGTGCTAACATATCATATAGTACAATATATAAATGTATATTGCAGGGGGAAGCCAAAATGATGAAAGATGGAAAAGTTTTCAGAGTTATCCAAGAGAACTGTTGGGATCCAGAAGTTCGGATTAAACAGATGGACGAATCAGGTACCTTCAGCTCAAGTGTGTAAAATTTAAGTATCAGTGTGATATTAGCAGTTTTAATGAAACATTTATAATTAACCTTTAAAATGTCTTTATGTCAAATCAATTAAACCTTATCAACCCTTATCAACAAAATGATCTGCAACATCGTGAGAAGAATCTTTTTTTTAGTATCATGTCTGCCGGGGCTGATAATCCGGAATCCTCTTACACATGTTATCTGTGCATTGATAACACTCAGCTCTATTTCTCCATTAAGACCTGTGCATGTTCTGAACCATTTTCCAGCGATAGGATAGATGGGGGAGGGGGACAATAAACTGAGGATGAATCCTGACCAAGATATGGGTAGCTAGCTCCTAAATATACATAGGTGGAAGACTGGCTGCATTTTTGTCCTCAGAAAGAACAAGAAAATAGTTGGAGGGAGGGGAAGGGGTTCTAAACTATAAGAACATGTTCTCCTGGATCAGACCAGGGGTGGGTTCCACTTTACTACCGATTCGCAGCATGTGTGTGTGCTTCTGCGCATGCACAGAAGCTTCTGCGCATGCGCAGATCACCCATGATGACATTGTGGCAGGTGGGCAGAGCCTCCTGCCAGTTTTACTACCGGTTATATAGAACTGGACAGAACCGGGAGTAACCCACTACTGGATCAGACCTCTGACTCATCTAGTCTAGCTGTCTGTTCTCACAGTGGCCATCCAGAAAAGAACCTTCATCTCCCAGAAGATGGCCTTCCAAGGCAGGTCCACTGCCAACAAGACTAGTGTAGAATGATCCTGTTGGTCCAACCCATTTTTGAAACCTTTCCTGAGCAACATCTCCAATCAATTGCTTCAGCATATTTAAATGGGCACTATCAAGATCCTGATTTAGGCGCATCTCTGCATCGATAGAGGAATAAGATTGAAGATCAAATTCATAATGTTCTGAATAACAATTGGATAAAATCCCCAGAACTCAATTCATTTATATTCTTTGCTGCATTGGCACATCTGGGATTCTAGAAGTGAAGTCTATACCTTTTGTTGGCTGATTTGGATCACAAGATGCCCCAACAAGTGACAGGATATCAAGAAAGCATGGCATCAAGAAAGATTAGAGCTAGCAACAAAATATTTTAAATAATACATTGCTTTTTCTATTTGTGTATAAAAGGTTGGGGGATATATTATTTGAAGGTTTTATAAATTTTAACAATTGGGAATGTTTTTGCATTGATGAATTGATTTATTTAGTAAACTAATTGCATTGACCCGGCTAAGGTATCTCAATGTTCCTTTTCCCCTTAAATGTTATCTTCTTTTCCTCAAACATTCATATTGATAGTACTTTAAAAATTACATTTGAAGTATATAGCCCTTCTTGCATTTTATACCGGTTCATTTATTAAACCAGAGTTTAATTTAGACTTTCTAATGGTATCGCAATTGCACTCCTTTGGGTAAATTTGGGTTGATCAACATTTGATTAATTTTACTGTGACTTTTCTGTCTGCACTGTAATATTTTCCCTAATTTTGTAGGGTAGTGATTGGAGTGATTAAATGATTCATGGTTTTTATTTTGGAGCTATTATTTTGTCTTTAATAAGAAGTATAATATCTATTCAGAGACTTTTCTGAGGATTCTGAGACTCTTAAATAAATGCTACCTGAAATTAATCTGTGAAGAATGGCATTTGGTTCTTCAGAGATCTGTCAATCTCCTCCAAAACTAACATTCAATAGTGTACTGCGAGTTTCACCTAACACTATCAAATTCCTTACTACCCCAAAGAGACGGTTGTGGAGGCTCTACAGATTTCCACCCCCCACCCCCTGTCAAATGGATAAATAGTGAACAGGGTCCATTATTTTCTACGCCACCTTGATCAAAGAGATTTTTGTAAGTTATACAATTATGGCAATCAGTTGTCGGAAACTAATAATAACTTAATGTCTACCACCAATAAGATGACTTTGGAAGCAATTCCTGTTTCACTATACATGGATAAAACCAGTGGTGAAATCCAAAATTTTTTACTACCGGTTCTGTGGACGTGGCTTGGTGGGCGTGGTGTGGCTTGGTGGGTGTGCTTGGTGGGCGTGGCTTGGGAAGTTATTGCAAAATCTCCATTCCCACCTCACTCTGGGGCCAGCCAGAGGTGGTATTTGCCGGTTCTCCAAACTACTCGAAATTTCCGCTACCGGTTCTCCAGAACTTGCTGGATTTCACCCCCCCATAAAACTGAAATGAAAAGACATGTGATCTGATTCAGCAGTTTTTAGGCTCTCTCATTGCTAAAGGATAAATCAGTACAATATTTAAAATCATGTATGCCTTTTCTGTTCCATAGGAGTCTCCGTTCAGGTACTTTCGACAGTTCCTGTCATGTTTAGCTATTGGGTAAGTCAATAGAAACCATTATCTTCATTTGTGCTGCAGCAGTCAAAAGCTACAGAAAGAGAGACAGTGGCTTTTGTAATTAAGTATTTCCTCTGCAATTGCAGCCCACTCAATTTGACACTCCCCCTCCCATGTCTCTTCTGATACTTGAAAAGAAATACAGTGCTCAACATCTTCAGTAAATGGATAGAAATCCACTCCGTGTTCTTGGAAGACATGTAGCAGCTTGGCAGAGCCCACTGTATGGAAGGATGGAGGTTTTCATCTTATTCTCTCAAAAGGCCTCACGTTCTGCCCTACTTCTTGACCCATGGAGTAGTGGCTTGTTACTCTTGTCTTTTAGGGGTGCTTCCCCGGCACCTTCCTTCTAACCCTGACACATGAGGGAGAAAGGAGTACCTTACCCTGGTAATTACAAGGTAAAAGTGAAAAATAAATAATTGCTCATAGTGTCAAAGTATATAAGACTAGGGATCTTAGCCCTTCTCCCTTTGGAAATAAATTAGTTTTAGAGTACTGTGGTAGACAAAAATAATATTTTTTTTAAAAAAAGGCAAAGTTATAACAAAAATTCCTTGCATTTTAGAATGCAAGTAACCTATGCTGGATAAGATACGTGAAGTACTTTTTTCAGTCCAAAGATTTCGCAACTGCAAATGAATGGAATATAAAAAGAAACCAATGGAAAAATAAATTCTGTACAAGATGATGCTGATTTTTAATACATTAATGCCATAGGTTTACTATGTTCTAACTGACAGAAGAACACAATATTCTTAAATTATGATTCATTTTGAACTTTATTTTGCTAGGGTGAACTGGATTTAGCTGCTCAGGCCATCCCAAAGATGGATCAGCATTAGGGATGTGCAAAATTCTTCATTCCAGGGATAGAATGTTCTAGGCAACACTAAAACATTCTCTTCTTTTCCAGATTATCATTTGCTCCATTTGTTTCTGCAAATAAAAGGTTTGGAATCATAAGTGATTCAAACTGTTCTGAATGAGAATACTTTGCACACACAACTATTCAGAAGTATACCAAGGTCAATAGTACTAAGAGTTGTTGAATTGTGCCTCAGTAGCATGAGGCATAGTGTATTTCTGAACAAGTATTGTTTATACGGAGCCAGTTCTTATTCAAGCCAGTCTTGAAGTGAAACTGGAATGGGTCTAGATAATTGGTTTGATTCAAGAAATCTTGGAATTGGGTCACCAATATTACGTATTCCAAATACCTCATCCAACAATACAATTTTGATATTGCCTGATACTTGTTTCCAGAGAAATAAATGACAAGTATATTCTTTATTGTTCCAAAGAAAACTATATGAGTATGAATTCACAAAGAGGAGCTATCAGTAAAATTTTCACAGGAGGGTGTCATTGGTTAAAGTTTTAGGGAAATTCCCCTTCCCCAGAAGTGGCTAAAATTTCAACACTGTGAAGAAATTTGTTCAAGCATGCAAATTTGATTTCATAGAAATTGAAAAGGGATAACCTTCTTCCTCCATTTCTAACATGATGAACAAATGAAATGAATTAAAATCTCCCCACATTTAAATCCAGCTGACAGTTAAAATTGATGTGTACTATCTCAACATAATTTTGTTGAAAATTACAGCCTCCCATACATTTAAGTGTCATGGCGCCAATTCTACACTTATTTACTCTTTAATTACTGTAGCTTCAGTCTTAAGAGGCAGCACTGTGTTCAAGTATTAGCGCCAGGAGAACTAAAACTATTGCAGAATTATAACTAGGACTGTAATCCCTTAGGTAAATTCTGCTCTTCCACTGTGCAATAGCTTAAACAGATATTGTTTCTCCAACAGGATTTTGTGTTAGAAATGTGTTTGCCAAGACAATTGAGTAAACAGTGCTTCCATATTTTGTTTTCCATGTTTTACCCATTCAAAAGAGTAGTTATCAACAGTCTTATTTTAAAAGTACCAAAGACAGAAGTGTTCAGGCATATTATCCCAGATTTATCTGCCACATTTGAATCAATTAATGAGAACCAATCATGATTTTAACAGAGATCCTTCAGGATCAAGGATTTTTTTTTATCTTTGTCCCCCTCTCCCACCTGCTGGAGACATCTCTAACCCTTCAGTCACTCAGAGGTTGGCTAAGCAGTATGGAAAGAAATGATATTTTGGTTTGCATCCAAATATGCTACATGTTTGGTGATGGGGGGATGTATGTGTCTGTAAGAGGGAAATGTCATGGGAGAAAGCATAGAAAACAAAAGAGATACAATAATTGTTGTCTTAACTAATGAGCACATTCCAGGTTTTGTTTTTTTTTTAATCTCAGAGCATCCCCTCTGCCAATTTCTCAGGAAGCTCTTCACTAAGAAACATTGCTGCTGATGGAGGTTACCATGCCAACAGCGTTCAGTTAACAACATCAGTTGCAGCAAGCAATTCCTCTTGACTTCTAAAGCATCTACTTCTGTTCCTAAAGCACAGCAATAAGTTAAAAATTCCAGCAGAAAAAAATGTTAGCATGCGGAGGTGACTGTTCAAATAGGGATCCTTTACAGCAGGCGTGTCAAACTCAAGGCCTGTGGGACAGATCCATCCCGCAGGGTGCTTAGATTTGGCCCACGGGGCCGCCCTGAAGGACCAGCCCGCAGTGCCTCTGTCAGTGAAAATGGAGCTTGGGGGACTGCACACAGAGGGCTGCAGGAGACCTTCCCAGCCAAAAAGGGGCCCCCGGAGGGGCCGTGCCTGCCCCCCCCCAGCTCCATTTTCATCGGCAGAGGGCCATGCCCACCCCGGCCCAGCCATGCCCCCCCAGGCCCCCCCCCCAAGGTCAAACACAACCCTGATGCAGCCCTGAATGAAATTGAGCTTGACATTATGTCGATGCAAATTACAATCATTATCTGCATCACATTCCATGATGGATAGTCATTAACTGCACAGGTCATGGAGTTGGTGATGATGATTTGTTAGACTTTTGAATGTTTTTCCTTGCTTTGGTTTTTGTCCAGATTTATCTGCTGGGAGAATCTAAGCATGCTGCAGACATGATAGGACGTTTAGTAGCTACTTCACATGTTAAGCAAACTGTCCCTTTTTCCCAGGATAGGATAGGCTACTTTCTTAACATTTTGAATGAATCTGCTTGGCAGCCACAGGCTGAAGTAAGCATGTAATAAAAGAGCAGAGTTAATAGTTGTCATATTCAGAAGTTTTTTTAATGAATTAATTCCTTACTTCAAACTATCGTACTCCCGAATTACTAGTCTCTAGTAATTTTCCCATACCAGCTTGATGAAGATTGTGTCACCTATAAAGTATCGCAACGACATTTAACTTAGCAAAGAGACAGATACCGGTAACAAAAATAGTTAAGTGACTTTTACCTCATTTTATGACCTTTCTTGTTAAGTAAATCACCGCTGTCATTAAGTTTGTACCACAGTTGTAAAGTGAATCTGGCTTCCCTATCAACTTTGCTTGTCAGAAGGTCATAAAAGATGATCACACGACCCCGGGACATACAAGTCAGTTGCTAAACGTCCAAATTTTGATCACATGACCATGAAGATGCTGCTAGAGTGGTATGAAAAACAGTCATACGTCAGGTTTTCAGTGTCGTAATTTCACTAAAAAAAATGGTTGTAAGTTGAGGGCTACCTGTACATGGATTAATTGTTTCATCGAGTAAAAATACATAGGCCTTTGGTTTTAATTAAGTACCGTTTTCCAAATGTTTCTACTTAAGATTCAACCAGTCCTCTCAATCTGAAAATGATGTTTTAATTACTCAATCCTCTTATTTGTTTGTTTCCAGGCTAAACCAGAGGATACTCTAGATTTGTGTCGGTTGTTAAACAATGACTTAGCTGCTACAGTAAAGAGGCACCCAAAAAGATTCGTTGGATTTGGTACTCTCCCCATGCAAGCTCCAGATCTGGCCGTGAAGGAAATGCACCGCTGTGTGAAGGAACTTGGATTTCCAGGGGTGCAGATAGGATCCCATATCAACAACTGGGAACTGAGTGCTCCAGAACTTGCTCCCATTTATGCCGTAAGTAAACATGTTCTGTCTCTCCTCCTACCACAAGTCTTGTAATGAGTTGATTTTTTTTTTCTTATCTAAAAACTTCAACTTAATGGCCTGAGATAATATCCCTGTTGTCCTCTATTTAATAATCTTTTAAATTCTCTCTTGGCGATTTAAGGCTGCTGAACAATTAAACTGCTGCCTCTTTGTGCATCCTTGGGACATGCAGACTGATGGAAGGATGTCTAAATACTGGCTTCCCTGGCTTGTAGGTCAGTAATTACTGTGCAGAATTGGCATTCTCTGTGACAATCATTGGTTTGATTTATTGGTTTGATTTTTCAAAAATCTGGTCCAATCAAGAGACTTTTAAAAAAAAAAATATTTTATCTTTATTTTTAATTTATTTTATCTTTAACTTATGGAGATGGGAGGATTGGAAATATACAAGGAAGTTTTCTGACAGTCTCATTAAAGTAGGCACAGGAATTACATTTATGAAGAGGAACTAGTTACAGGTAGTCCTCGACTTTACGATCGCAATTGAGCACAAAATTTCAGCTGCTAAGCGAGACAGTTAAGTGAGTTTTGCCCCATTTTACATTTTTCTTGCCACAGTTGTTAAGTGAATCGATGCAGTTCTTGAGTTAGTAATACAGTTGTAAAGTGAATTTGGATTTCTCATTGACTTTGCTTGTTGTAAAGTCACAAAAGGTGATCACATGATCTTGAGACACTGCAACTATCATAAATATGAGCCAGTTGCCAAACATCTGAATTTTGATCACATGACCATGGGGGTGCTGCAATGGTAAGTGTGAAAAACTGTCATAAGTCACTTTTTTCTGTGCCAGTGTAACTTCAAATGGCCACTAAATTAAAGGTTGTAACTCAATGACTACCTGTATTTATATTTATTATAAAGGATCCCCAAAAGTTTACAGGTCATCAGCAAGCATGACCAATGCCATCCTCATACAAAACCCTAGCCAGAAACCCAACGTAAATGAGTCCAAACAATCCACTTCCTCCAGACTCCTCTGAAGTTGATGCCTGAACATATTGTCTACCACCTTGCCTACATAGGGAAGTTCCATGGTTGTCATGGAGACCATGAGCTCTGGAATCATTCTGGACTCTATGGCATGGAATCTCAATCATGAACTCAGTGTCAGAATCCAGCAGCTCAGGTAGAGAAGGTGTTGTGTCATAGGGAAAGCAGTAACAGCAATGCATCCATCTGAAGGGTCCTTGGTGCTCTCTGAGCTTAGTTGTTTTCTTGCAGATGTTTCATTACCCAACCAGGTAACAATATCAGTGCTAGGGCAAACATACAAGATCCTTTTGTAGCACCTACATCATTTTCTCGAATAGTATGGCTAGCCAACATATTAATGATAATCCAGTATTGGTTATAGTAAATAACCGTCGATCAAAGAAGCAACATGCCCTCTTCCTTAGTGTCAATATACTTTTGGTAATATTTTACTTAAAGCTACATGGGACTGAGTACCTCTCGTATCACAGTTTGAAATATTGTATCCCACTGTGCTTTTCCAAGGAAGCTAGTACCACTCTCTGTCCTTTAGGACTCCAAGTAATGACACAAAGATTCTCATGGATTGGGTTGTGGACTCTCCGGGCTGAAATCCATTGGTGCCATGTCAGCAGTTCTACAGCTTCTCTCTGCTGTAATGCCAGGCAGGCCCTGAGTCCCCAGAATTGAGATTGCACAGAATTTTCTGTCTGCTCCTACTCTTCTTCCTATTCCTTGGTTGAAGATCTGTCCAAGAAAGCTGTAAGAACTTTATGGTACAATACAACAACAACAACAATTGTCTTTGTACGTGTATACACAGTATACCCATACAACAAAATTCACTTAACACCCAAAGACCAGGTCCAATACACATAACAATCCCCAAACACACTCCCACCCACCACAATTCTTCACCCCTAAACCACCCAAACCAAGTAATGCTGTCCAACAGCTCACTGATGGTGGCCCGTTAGTTAATTGTTGAGTGCAATTATAGGTCTGGGATAGAAACTATTCAGAAAATGTGTGGTCCGAGTTTTAATTGTTCTGTATCTTCTGCCAGAAGGCAACAGTCCAAAAAGATTGTAAGCAGGATGGGAAGAGTCTCTGAGAATGTTATGCAACTTCCTCAAACAGCGAGATTCGAAGATGTTGTCCAGTGCTGGTAGCTGGAGCCCGATGATATTCTGGGCAGTTTTAATGATTCTCTGTGGAGCTTTTTTGTCTGTTACCATCATATTAGTAGCAATCATTCAACCTGAATATTATTTCTTATTATTAGGCATGCCCACTGAAACAACCATTGCCATTTGCTCCATGATTATGGGAGGAACTTTTGAGCGCTTCCCCAATCTGAGAGTTTGCTTTGCCCATGGAGGTAAGTATCAGAGCCAAGTTAGTATTGTGATTATACCGTTGCTGTAGAACTGCAGAATCCCTCAGCCATGATAACTCAGTTGATGGTCAGTCCTATCTCTAAACTAGGGGTGAAATCTACTTACCTTTCCTACCGGTTTGGAAGTTTGCACACGTGCCACAGTCAAGTTCAATTTTTGACCCTCTGCGCATGCACAAAAGGTCAAAAATGGGTTACTTCCTGGTTTTAACAACATCCAGGCGGGTGGGCGGAGCCTTGCGCACCGCCTCTACCAGTTCGCATGAGCCGGACAGAACCGGTAGGATTTCACCATTGCTCTAAACCCAACTTACCACCTGCTGTTGTTGTTGAAGGGACAATCATGGAAGAAAGAGTAATATGCCACCCTGTACTCCTGCAGGAAAGAGAATATAAACTAATGCATAAAACATATAAGTTACATTTTTAAAATATTTTTAGGTGGTTCCTTTCCTTACACAGTGGGACGTATCTCCCATGGATTCACAATGAGACCTGACTTGTGCGCAATCCATAACAAAATTGATCCAAGGCAATACCTTGGTTCATTCTACACAGATTCACTGGTTCATGATGAGCAAGCACTGAGGTTGCTGATAAACGTAATAGGAAAGGTGAGTGAGAATCTCTACTACAAGATACTGTTCATTCCTAGACCGTAAAAACTATTCCACAAAAGAAGCCTTTGAAATTGAAGGCCAAATGAGACATCATTCCATTCGTTCAATTAGCAATAGCATGAATGTTTTCTTTAAAATATAGCAGTAGTGGCATCTCTGATAGACTGACATCCTGGCAGAGGAACAGAGTTTTAATATTGATTTACGATATCATCCCTCTACCATACACACACACACACACACAAAAGCAGACTAGACTGAATTTGGCATCTCTATTTTGGCCTAAAGGGTTTAGGTTGGAGCGTTTCTTTTAGAACCCTGTGGTGACATCTACTGGAAATAACATGTAATAGCAAAAAGGGAAATGTGCTTTCTTTAGTCTGCATCACCAATTGCAAGTAGAAAAACATTTTTTTTTTACTTCCAGGTTCAATAAATTGGGCTTCACTTCCAAAATGTAAAACCCACATTTTTGTGTGTGTGTATTTTAATCTATATGTCCAGGAAGTATCCTTCTCCCAGTTGTTCAATATAGTCTATGTTAAAAAGGCATACTTTATGCTCAAAAAAACCTGTATGATGGAATAGGAAGAGAAGAAACACAGGAATTATGAAGGAAACCATCAGTTCATTACTGATCGTAATATAACTCAGCTTCACTAATATCTTCCCTTTGGTGCAAGACATACTTTTATAAATGAACAAGATTTCTATTGTAGATATCTACCAAAGCTATTTGTAGCTGTTAATAAGTGGCTAGATAAAAATATATGATGAAAGGTTAAATTGATTGTCTTCAATCGATAAAGGTTTACAAAATTCTCCTTTTTTCTTTCCTATGTTACAGATATTGACTAAAATGCTCCAAAAGCAAACTATTTTTTTTTTCAATATCAGAATTAATTTAATGCAATTTCACTCAGGGTACCTTTGGGTTAAAATCAGTGATTGAAATATTATCCCCTTTTTACATGTGTTGCTTGTGTGGTGCATGTAAAAAAACATGGTGGGCAATAGTCATGTGATTATGACCACCATGTTGGACTTTGTTTCTTCTCCCGCAGAAGCCTTTGGTTCAAATACTTTATTAATATTGTTCATCAGCTATATGCTGTCTTTCAAAATCAGATTCTATATTTTATTCCAAATTATTATCTTCATTATCATCTATATTTTAGTAAATAAAAGTGAGAAATTCTTGCGTACTGAAATACATAAACTATATACTTTTATCTATACAGAGCGGCAGTGATGCAGTGGTTAGAATGCAGTACTGCGGGCTACTTCTGTTGACTGCCTGTTGACTGCAATTTGGCAATTTGAATCTCACCAGGCTGAAGGCTGACTTAGCCTTCCGTCTTTCCGTGGTTGCTAAAATGAGGACCTAGATTGATGGAGGCAATACGCTGACTCTGTAAACTGATTAGAGAGGGCTTTAAAGCACTGTGAAGTGGTATATAAGTCTAAGTGCTACTGTTATAGAAAATAATATAATTATATCAGAAATATCCAGGGGTGAAATGCTCCCGGTTCGGACCAGATCACCCGATCCGGTAGCGATGGCGGCGGGTGGTTCGGAGAACCAGTAGCAAAAATCCCTGCGCCCCCACCCCCATGCCCAGCTGAGCCGCACAATCATCAGAGGCTTTTTTTAAAAAAAAAACTTTTAAAAGCATTTTTTCTACAACCTCTTCCGAAGAAAAAATGCTTTTAAAAGTAAAAAAAAAAAAAAGCCTCTGATGATCGTGCGGCTTAGCTGGGATCATCAGAGGCTTTTCAAAGGATTTTTTTCTGCAACCTCTTGGCCGAAAAGGTGGTAAAAAAAATGCTTTGAAAAGTCACTGATGATCCCAGTTGAGTTGCCTGATCGGCAGAGAGGTATTTTTTAAGAAATACCTCTCTGCCGATCAGGCAACTCAGCTGGGATCATCAGAGAGGTATTTTTTAAAAAGCCTCTCTGACAATCCCAGCTGAGTTGCCTGTTGGCCATGGCCACCCAGTCACATTACCCCCCCACACCAAGCCACGCTCACAGAACCGGTAGTAACAAATTTTACATTTCACCCCGGAAATATCCTTCTCATCTTTCCTGTTACTTACTCCTATTGATATCTAATTGTATCATTTTATTGTTGTATATACACTGAGAGCTTATGCACCGGAGACAAAATCCTTGTGTGTCCAATCACATGGCCAATAAAGAATATTCTCGTCTCTTCTCTTCTCTTCCATCCTATCCCATCCCATCCCATCTCATCCCAATGAGAATCCTTTAATAAGGAAAGAGATATTTATCTCTTCCAAGATAATTTAATCTAAGTTTGCAGAAAAGCTTACAAAGATTTAAATGTGCATGTCTGTCGATCCATCCAATTCCATAGTTTTCACAATGATTCCTTAAAATGAAAAAACAAACATCCATTAAAATGCCAACAGGTCAATCAATCTTGTTTCTATTTTCAGGAGAAAGTGATGTTGGGAACAGATTATCCATTTCCACTTGGGGAACTTGAGCCTGGAAAACTGATTGAATCTATGGAGGACTTTGATGAGCAATTAAAAGTATGTTATCTGATTTTGAGTCTTTGCTTTAATGTTTAATGTGCCTGTCAGTAGTGTAGTTTTGTAGTTCATTGGCCTTGATTTGAAGCTTATATGACATAGCTTATTATTTACAGTAAATATATAAGCTTCTAGTCAGACAGACTTCTTTTTAAGGACAAAATTACTGCAGGTTCGAATCTCGCCAAGGCTCAAGGTTGACTCAGCCTTCCATCCTTTCTAAGGTAGGTAAATTGAGGACCCAGTTTGTGGGGGCAATAAGCTGACTTTGTATAAATATACAAAAGGATGAAGGCTATTGCATAGTGCATTGTAAGCCGCCCTGAGTCTCCGGAGAAGGGCGGCATATAAATCAAATTAAAAAAAAAAAAAGTAGGATAAAAGTAATGTAAATTAAAGTTTATAAGACAATTCGCAGAAATTTACAGTGGGGACAACTATTTTAAAATTTGCTTTCAAGTCAGACTTGATTCCTAGTGACTGCACAGATTTCATTATTTTTCTTAGCTTCGTTTGGAGATAAGTTTCCCATTGCTTTCTCCCAAGGTTGAAAGGGAACAACTAGCCAAGAAGTGTCAAACTTGCGGCCCTCGGGCCAGATGCATCACATGCTGGCCACGCCCACCCCTGGTTTAGCAAAGGGGGGGAAAGTCACGATACATCACGTGACAACAATATGACGCCATGTGTTTGACACCCCTGAACTTGCCCAAAGTTACTCAGCTGGCTTCCATGTCTAAGTTAGGCCTAGAATTCAGGTTTCACCATTCTTACTTCAGCACTTAACTAATGGATCAAACTGGTTTCCACAGTTGGTCATATTTTGAAATATTTTGAGACATTAGGAGTAAAGCTAATATGTGGTCATTTATATTCATAGGAAATCTGAAGGCAAGAATGGAAGAATTTATAAAAAGTTATTTTTTCCATAATAAACTGGTCCAGTGGTGGGTTTCAAATTTTTTTTACTACCGGTTCTGTGGGCGTAGCTTGGTGGGCATGGCATGGCATGGCTTGGTGGATGTGGCTTGGTGGGCATGGCAGGGGAAGGATACTGTAAAATCTCCATTCCCACCCCACTCCAGGGGAAGGATACTGTAAAATCTCCATTCCCTCCCCAATCCAGGGGAAGGTTATTGCAAAATCCCCATTTCCTCCCAATCAGCTGGGACTTGGGAGGCAGAGAATAGATGGGGGCGGGTCCAGCCAGTACTTTTTACTACCGGTTCTCTGAATTACTCAAAATTTCCTCTACCGGTTCTCCAGAACTAGTCAGAACCTGCTGAAACCCACCTCTGAACTGATCCTCTGAGTAACTGAGAAACAGACTATAATACCAGCACCCTTCCCCAATGCCTGGAATATTCTGACGCAAATTTCAAAAAACTAATAGGAAAGAACAGAAGCTTCATATAAAAATTCTAAGGTTGTCATTTCAGTATTATGGCAGTGAGATTTTAAAGTAAAATACCTACCTCCAGAATAGAAGAAATGTTGCCTCTTTGGGCCATTTACAGTAAACTTGTTTTGCCCTACCATAAACTAGACATCCATTCAAAGCCTGGCAAAGAATCACCTTTTTTATATATATTATCACCCACTGTCATTTTAAAAACTGTAGGAAATTAATGTATTAAATTATTTTAATGTGTGGTGAGTAGAAAACTATCAGGAAACAAAAGAGCTATAAGCTATAGGGTTTTATTTATTAATTGAATTTATATGCAACCCATCTCACCAGGGGTGGGTTCTACTTACCTTTACTACCAGTTCGCAATGGGGCTGCGTGTGTGCACTCTTCTGCACACGCGCAGAAGCGCATGCGTCATTTTGATGACGTCGGGGTTGGTGGGCAGAGCATCCCGCCGGTTTTACTACCAGTTCTATAGAACTGGTGCAAACCGGGGGCAACCCACCACTGCATCTCACTATCATTTGACAATAGTATGTCAAATTATGTCAGGAAGCTTTAAAAACTAATTAGAAATTAGAAAGTGGCAAAAATTAAACAATTATGATTCTGTGTTTGAAACAGGGGGCATTTTCTCATGAGAAGATGCTTAAATAGTCACCAGGAATCAACTATGATTCAATAGAGTTTTTAACCTTATCTGTTAGAGTCCATGCATTTTTTAATATATGCCCTTATCTTCCAATCCAAGTTACCCCTCAGCATTATTTGATAGAATAGGAAGGACTGAACATTTCTATTGCAATAACACTGATATCTGATGGAGATATATTGGTAATTTGCTCTGCATCTGGAGCAGCATAAAGTGATTAAAAATCATATTAATCTGAGAATAAGATACATTACATTTGACAGGTTTTTCAGGCATACCTATCTGTTGTCTATCTGTTCTCCCCACATCATTAGCATGTTCCGAGAGATTCTGAGAAGCATCTACTTAATGTGGTTCATTATAATACATAATTAATTTATGAATTTATTTGTAAACAGCAATTCATTGAGTATTTGACTGAGAAGTCTTCTGAGGCATCTTTTGCACATATATGTTAATGCTTTCTCAAAATCTTCATTCTTTTTGTTACAGGAGAAACTCAAGTCTGGCAATGCTCTTTCATTTTTGAATATTGACAGAAAACACTTTGAGTAATAACAGAACTGCTGTAATTATATATCTACATCTTTAGGTTCTGAAGAACAACCATAAACCTCATCTTCATATTTATGCAGTATCATGCCAATTTCAAATAATATACATGTGCTGAAAACCTGAATCTAGGTTATAATAAAACTTTATAAAAGCTGCATGAGCTAAGAACTTTTTGAGAAGTTATATAGTTGTAAGAATTTTTCTTGTTATATATGGAATGGACCATTTCAGCATGACATCAATGAACGATTATCACTTAAATTTAGAAGGTTGCCTCTCTTACACAAAGTTTGCACTGTTACACAGAGTTGGAGAATTTATTTATTTATATCCAGCCTTTTCAATTTTAAAAGTAACTCAAGTCAGTGAACATATCCAACATACCTTCCTCCTCCTATTTTTCCCACCACAACAACTGAGAAATCTTTACTGTACTGGGGTGGCCTCATATTGGGCAAACAGGACCTGTAGTAGACATAGATTTAGAACAACTTTATTGTCACTTTGAATGTACACTAATCAGCATACATTAAAATGAAATTTCATTGCATACAGCTCTCAAAGGGTCACCACCTCCAATACACACTACATAAACATGACAAAATAATAAATAAATAAATATATATATGCCCACATATATTATATGACACAGCGAAACAACACAATCTTGTTTGGATGTATACATGTACATGGCGAGAAAAATGAATCTTGCGAGTTTACCAGACACAGTGCATAGGAAACAAAGCAGAATCTGGTAGTCCTGCTAGAAATACTTCGAAACCTCCTCCTAGAGGGGAGCAACAGAAATAGACCATAAAGTCTGTGTGGGGTCTCTAACAACGCTTTCAGCTCTAAGCACATAGCGCTTATAAGCAGTATCTTGAATAACAGGAAGCAAGCTTCCTATAATCTACTCGGCTGTCCTTTACCACTCTCTGAATGAACTTTCTCTCTGAGGGACTGCAGTTTGTTAAAATGCTCTCGATCAACAGAAGGTGAAAGATGTGCTCTCCTCATCCGAAGCAGAAAATGACGACACTGGTTTGCACACTTCACTCAGGATGACATGTGGAATAAGTGCTCAGTAAGTTACTGAAGGCCTGAAAGTTTATTTCATAAGCTTGCTTCTCTGACCAAATATCATTTCCCCTTTCATTTCACTCTCTGTATTCACCTCCCCAAATCAGGCAAGACTATTTAAGTAGATAAGTCTTCTACTTATAATCACAATTGACCCCAAAGTTTCCTTTGCTAAGCAAGACAGTGATTAAGAGAGCTTTATTCCATTTTATAAATAAATAATAAATAAATAATTTTATTTCTATACCGCCCTTCTCCCGAAGGACTCAGGGCGGTGTACAGCCAATTTAAAAACACAACACACAACAATAATTAAAAATTAAAATAATTACATAGATTTGGCCGATTTAAAACCCCAAACATTTAAAATACCCCAATTAAAATTATTAAGTTGATAGCCCTGCCTGGCGGAACAACAGGGTCTTCAGTGCGCAACGAAACACTCGGAGGTCGGAGATCTTGCGTATTTCCGGGGGCAGTTCATTCCACAGGGCTGGGGCTCCCACAGAAAAGGCCCTCCCCCTGGGTGTCGCCAGCCGACATAACTTGGCTGATGGCACCCTGAGGAGACCCTCTCTGTGGGAGCGGACTGGTCGGTGGGAGGCTATTGGTGGCAGAAGACGGTCTCGAAGGTACCCGGGTCCTATGCCATGGAGCGCTTTAAAGGTGGTAACCAACACCTTGAATCGCACCCGGAAGACCACTGGGAGCCAGTGCAGCTCGCGCAGGAGGGGTGTCACGCAGGCACAACGAGTTGCGCCCATGACCTTTCTTGCCGCAGCTGTTAAGTGAATCACTGCAGTTGCTAAGTTAGTAACATGGCGGTTAAGTGAATCTGGCTTCCCCATTGACTTGGCTTGTCAAAGGTCACAAAAGGTGATTACATGACCCTGGGACACTGCAATCATCCTAAATATGAACTGGTTTCCAAGTATCCAAAATTTGATCACATGACCATGGGGATGCTGCAATGGTTGTAAGTGTGAAAAATTGGCATAAGTCACTTTTTTCAGTGACATTGTAAGTTTGAATGGTCTTAAAAGAATAGTTGTACATAGAGGAATACAGGTAGCCTTTGATTTACAATAGTTCATTTAATGACCATTCAAAGTTCCAACAGCACTGAAAAAAGTGGCTTATGATAGTTTTCCATTCTTACAACCGTTGCACCGTCCCTATGGTCATGTGATCAAAACTTGGATACTTGGCAACTAGTTCTTATTTATGACAGTTGCAGTGTCCCGGGATCATGTGATCGCCTTCTGCAACCTTCTGAGAATCAAAGTCAATGGGGAAGCCGGATTCCCTTAACAACTGGGTTCCTAACTTAACTCTAGTGATTCACTTAACAACTGTAGCAAATGAGATCATCAAATGGAGGAAAAGTCACTAAACAACTGTCTTGTTTAGCAACAGAAATTTGGGGCTCAATTAAGGTCGGACGTCAAGGACTACCTGTACCTGGCTGACTTACAGGGGTATGTGTGCTTTGGCTTTCCATGTCTATTGAAAACAATGGAGAAATCTCAAAATCCAGTAACAGGCATCCTTCTGAGAATCAACTTTAGAACGTTTTCCCTAATCCATGACATTTCATTCGGCATCATGGGTTTTTTTTTGAAATTAAGAGTTTTACAAAGCAGTTGAAATGAAAAATACGCACAGAATATAAGAAACCTATAACTGGGTGGTGAATGAAAATGACATTTTACCATTATTTTGAAGGATAATCTGTTGCAAGTTACACAGCATGTTTTTTTCACCAGGAACACCCATCTAGCAAGAAACAAATGAGATAGGGATAGATTAAATTTAAATAGAAATAGTGGGTGATCCTCTCATGTTAATACATGTAGTCCTCGACTTACAACAGTTCATTTAGTGACCCAAGTTACAACATCACTGGAAAAAAGTGACTTGACCGTTTTCCACTTACAACTGCTGTAGCATCCCCATGGTCATGTGATTTACATTGGGATGCTTGACAACCGACTCACATTTATGACGGTTGTCATGTCCTGGAGTTATGTGATCGCCTTTTGTGACCTTCCAAAAAATAAAGTCAATGAGGAAGCCAGATTCACTTAACAACCGTGTTACTAATTTAACAGCCGCTGTGATTCACTTAACAAATGTGACAAGAAAAGACATAAAAAGCCTTGGTGGCGCAGTTGACTAGTGCTGTTAAAGTAGCACCAGCTGCCTGCAATTACTGCAAGTTCAAATCTCACCAGGCTCAAGGTTGACTCAGCCTTCCATCCTTTCGAGGTAGGTAAAATGAGGACCCGGATTGTGGGGGCAATAAGCTGACTTTGTATAAAAAAGAACACCGCTTGGGGGGGCCGAAAGCCCTACTAAGCAGGTATATTCAAAAGTATGAAGGCTATTGCTTAAACGCATTGTAAGCCGCCCTGAGTCTCCGGAGAAGGGCGGCATATAAATCGAACCAATAAATAAATAAATAAATAAAATAGGGCAAAACTCATTTAACAAATTTCTCACTGAACAACATAAATTTTGGGCTCAATTGTGGTCGTAAGTTGAGGACTCCTGTACTAAATTGCACTGCCTCCAATCAAGACGCTGAAAGATTTTAATGCTGCTAAAATGCACCGTTGCACATAGACCAAAACTAAGATGAAGTCACCTATTTACTATTATGGCTGAGTGGAGTCGCAACCATTCACTAATGATACCTTTTGTTAATATTATTTTTGACCTGGAATAAAAATCTATGGAGAGAACAAAATTTCCGAAGAAATCAAGGAGGCTTCTTCTGCACGCACGAGGCAACCAAGTTCCCTTCTCTGAACTTCTATTATACTGATAAACAGTAAAGAAAAATCTTCAGCGCAGCCTCTATAGGGAGAGAGAAAAAAAACAGCGTCAGAGGGAACGTCCTCCGACTCGATAGGGGCACTATTTAAAACCGCACTACAGTAAGCCTTCCGCCAGCCTTTCCTTCCGCCCCCTCCTCAATTTGCAACTCTATGGTTTATTAAAGCCGGAGTATTGGAGAAAGAGAGGGAGAGAAAGACCCGGTTTGGGCGCGCTTTGACTGAATTCTCGCGAGAGGTGCCGCGATGGAAGAGGAGGAGCCGGGCGCGCCGGCGGCGGGCGCTGCTTCGGGAGGAGGAGGAGGAAGTGTCATGGCGGCGGCGTTGAGTTCCGGACCTTGCGCGAGTTCGGGGTCGCGCGGACCTGGCGGAGGCGGCCTAGGAAGCTCGCGCTGGTTTTTCAGCCGGGAACGGTTGGACAACACGCCGTCGCGCCACTGCGGCGTCGAGGCCGACAAAGAGCTCTCCTACCGGCAGCAGGCGGCCAATCTCATCCAGGATATGGGCCAGCGCCTCAACGTGTATCCTTAGCGGCGGGCCGGGAACGGGGGAAAGAGGAGGCCTGGGCGGGGGAGTGAGTCAGCGGGGGAAGGGAAGAGCCTTTCGTGAGGGGGAGGGGGTGTGAGGTCTGGTCCCGGGGGCTCCTTCGGAAGGCCGGCCCGATGGCGAGGCTGGGAGGCCTCGCCTGCTGTGGCTCCACCCCTCGGCCTGCGCTCCCGTCTTCAGGGGAGAGTCGGGAAGGCGCCACAGGCTCCCCTGGGAGTCGAGGAGGAAAAAGCGAAGCCGAGTTTCGGCGCCTGTCTGCCTCCGTTGCGCTCCGGGGTGGGTTTTAAGTTTTTCCACGCAGACAACGCGCGAGTTGGCTTGTTTAGCCCACCCCACTCCCTTCGCTTGCACGGGTTTCGAGGGGGAGAGGAGCGGTTGGAGTTTTAGCCAGGTGCCTTTTTCGGCTTGATTGATTGCAAAAGGATCGTGGTTGTATAATGGCTGCTAAACAGGGTTTGGGTAATCTCAGATTTGTACCGTCAATAATTGGTTTTTTCTTTTTTCTTTCTCCAGACCGGTGTTCTGTTTTGTTTTTGTAATTGCGATTTAATAGGGGCTGTATAAATACCTTTTGTTGGTTAAACGAAATTTCCTCCTCCCCCCAAATGCCCTCTATCTCAGTCGGTCAAGCTTAAAAGAGATTTGATGCTTTTGCTTCATGTGGTGGATAAAAAGTTTGGTGTCAGAATAAGGAACAGGCGGCAGTTTTTCCCCACTTTTTTCTTCTTCCCCCAAATGCCCGTTTTGAGACATTTGATGTGAACGATGGGAAAGGAAATTTCATCCAGGAATTGTTTTAAATGGGAACGGCATATAAATGTTTTAAAGGAGAATAAAACAAAGGTCATTAAAAATAAGGTTATTAAATAGAACTTTTGCTATTTTAGAGTAATAAAATTGAAAATATAGCCTCTCTGGTATTCTCAACAGTTTTTCAGGAACTTGAAGTAAGGAATGACTCCTATCGTAATTTCTGTAGTTCTGAATGAAGATTGAATTAGTTT